GAAAAATTTAGAGTCAATCTTCATAACAAAAAATAATAATAAAACAGTTAATTTTAAAACCGATGTAGGAAGAATAGGGGAGGGGCACATTATGCGGATATTTAAAATAAATTAGTGATATAATAGAATATGGGAGAGAAAACAGGTTTCGGACAAAGGAATACAATTGTTATCTGACCTTGTATGAAAATTTCTCTTAGACTTGATTCGTAAGCATGATAAGATGTATCGGAATAAATTTAAGAAACAATTAGTGATAAAAATTGATAATAGTCTTAGGTAAGAATCATATTCTATAAACTAAACAAAAAATCTTTTGTGAGTTAAGTGTATGTAGATTGTTTTTCATGTTTGTAATAGTAATTATGTTATTTTTAATTTAGTAATTCGTGTTTCTTTAGATAAGAGTATTATTAACCTGATGATGGGAATATTTCCCGAAACGTCGTTATAATTGGAGTTTTAGAAATAAAGGAGGGAATGATGTCACAATTTTTATAATTTATTATTTACATAATAAAACTATTCAATGTAGGAATGTTTTTACAAATTTAAAGTGATTTCTTCTTGAGATAATATTACTTGATTACTTAATAGTAGTTATTTTCTGTGAACATGCAAATAGTTAATAAAAATTGAATTATTCAAATAGAAAATTGAAATTAAACTAATAATGTAGCAACGTTATTTATTCTCATTTATTTTCAAAAAAGTTTCATTTTATAAACACAATCGGTCGCAATAACACGTCTTCGTATAATAATTAATAAAAACGCACAAAAACACATTTATTTATATGTTTTTTTAAAAAATTCACAACAGTAATCGGTTATATTTTTTTTAATACATCGCTTAACTTACTGCTTCTTTTTTTCACGATTTTTTTTAAGTAGGGAAAGAATCTTTTTGGTCGACCACTTTTTTGGTATACGTACACTATAATCGAAGTTTTTTCGAAAAGTTTTTGTCCAAGTTTTCGTCTTAATTTTTTTTTAATGGTACAAGGTTCACTCCAACGATATAAAAATACAGATATTATCAATAAAGTCGTTTATACCTAATTTTTTTTATATATCACACAAGACAATGTTTTTTTCTTACATTTTTTTTTTAATTCTTTGGATATATTTTTTTATGTTGTATTATCTCCCATTTCATTCATTTTTTGTGAATTCCGTCTTTTGCTGTGGCAGGAGTACTCTTTTAGATCTCTTAAAAATTAAAATCTTCTTTTGGTGTGCATCTTTTTAAAAAACTTTATTACCTAAGTTTTAATATTTTTTTACTTCTTTACATTTACAAAGTGCACCATAAATTGTTTTTTATTCCTTTTAAATATTTACAGTAAATACGTCTTGTTAAATATCGATCCACATGTAAAGCTAGATAATCGGTTTTTTATTTTTATTTCATAATTTTTTTACACAACATACATTTTTCTTTGCTTCCTTATTATTTTTAAGTCTTTTTTTTCTTTTAAAGTAAAATCACAATCGTATCTTTATTTACACAGGGTTCATCGAATGATATACAAAAATATTTTTACATACTGAGCATGCTCGAATATTTAAATTAAAAGGAAATCAATTTCGAGCTATTTTTACCTCAAAATTATCGAATTAAAACATTCATAAATCACACAAAAATTATTAAACCTACAAAAAACGTAAATAAATCTATTAACAACATTTTCGGTGCGTTTTGTTGAGATCCTGATGCTGAAGCTAAAGCACTGGGAGCTAATTTCATGCAATTTTCGTGTTCTTCATAATCCACCCTTGTTATCGTACAAAAATGAATGTGGGCGCAATTTGCGTCACAATTATGATGATCTTTGTGCATCTTCACTGAATTCGCTCGATAATAACTAAAAACAATTACATTTAATCATTTATCATTTAACATAATATAAAAAAATACTTTTTAAAGGTTGAGTCGTAAATTCCTGATTGCGAAGTCAATCGTTCCGCTAAAGTGTGCAAACTAAGTGGTGTGATGTTCGAAATTCCATAATACGAAGAAAAATTGTATTCGATTAACCACTCGGGTTCGATTTTTTGATCTTCGTTAGCTTGAGAAAGGTCCAAATAGTATTGAGTGTAATCCAAAATCTGTCCGGTGTCTTTCTTAAACTTATATAACCTCAACCCAGGATTATTAGCTCCGTCGGTGGTTCTCCGAGGTGTAACAGCGGGCGATAACATAATCCAAGAAACAGGATGACCTGGTAACACAAAGAAATCAACAATGTTTGCAGTAAATGTTTTCGTATTCTGTTTAGCAAGTGCCACTCACTACGACAAACAATTCTACCAAAACAAACGTCGAAATGAGGATCTCTAATTGAATTGCTTTTCCAATTATGAAACAGGGAGAATGCTTAGTTCCAAAATTAATTAATTTAATACTGTGGGTGCACTTTTTGCTTCAATAACAAACAAATACCAATTCTTAATTACCTTTTTCATTGTAAATAACTCTAAACGAATCCGAATGAAGGTGTCCGAAGAACTGTGCTTGTATTATACTCGAATACTTTCGAATTAATTTTAAATATTTCCGATTGTTGTGATCGGTGAATGCGAGATGTTCGTGATGAGAGGCACCCCTTTGACGTTCATCTAACCCCGGGGGCATATGACCTACGATGTAAACCTAGAAAAAAAAATTTTGTAATCAAAATTTAAATATCTAAAAAAAAATTAAATGTCATAATGACGTAATTTAATTAAAGAATACCTGTCCCTCTTAAAAATCGATGATTTTTTTTTTAATCGGTAGGAAATGACTCAAAAGATGTGTTAATGATAAAAAAAAAGTGCGGAAAAGTGTAGTACTTACCGAAAAATCACTTTAAAGTTACGATTTGACGTTTCTTTTTGGAAGTTCAAAGCAATGTTAAATATGCATTTTCGTATTAAATCCTAACCTGAAATTGTTTAATTTATACCCACGCACAAAATAAAAAGTTATTTTCACTAAACTTGTTGAGATTACAACATATTTACGGATGAAAACCTTATTTCTTAGGCTATCAATGCATAACGACAATTACCTGTCGTTAGATAGAATTGTTTCTACCAAATGTGTGTTAATAGACTTTATGTTAATAGATTGTGTATCAATTGATCTGTCAAACCACTAAAGTATATACTTAAAATANTCCACGATGGCGAAGTTAGAATTAATAACATAAATTATAAAAAGTACACGTAGTTGAAGACGACCTTTAAAACACCAGAAACTATCATCGGTTCTTCAGATATCGTGCCAGTAATTTAACAGCAATAATGCAATTTCCTTATTAATAATGTGTGATGTGGATGGCTTTAGTTAGATCGATATTTACCTATTTGTGAGATTTTTTTCTATCAACCCTTCAACTAAGTAGGCAATTACTTCCAACATCGCTCCAATAGTCGATCGAGTCTTTTCATGGTTGACTTCTATTACGGGGATATCCAAAGAGTGTACCTGGAAAAGAAAATAAAAGATTGGTGAAACATATCTTTATTTCTTTGCACAACATAGTTCTGTCTTCTTGTGGTTGGATTCGTTTTTTTCAGAGATGTTCAATAGATTCGATACCCTATTGATAGTGAGACCCGCCGAGGTCCTCAAAGTCAGTCATTCACCGCAGATTCCGCCTCTAATATAGCGATCAAATTGTTGTTGTTGTTGTGACTTTTTGGTTTACTTCAAATAATAGGTCGACTGAACGACAGAGGGTTACAGGTCACCGTGACCGTTGATTGTTGTTACATATTCTCTAGTAATAATGGAGAAAGTCTTTTAAAGACTTGACATCGCTGGGAAATCATCTTAATAATAAACCACCATACTTCTTGGTTTACCATTCCTTTCGTTTTGATTTTCAGACTTCATAAAACTTCTTAGCTTCTTAGGTCACATTACACCACCTGGATGGGGGGCGAATGGCCCCGTGGTAAGCTCTCGGGCTACCACGCCGGCGTCCTGGGTTCGATTCCCAGTGAATACACGCCGAGTCGCCTCCCCGTCCTTCGGAGGGGACGTTAAGCCGTCGGTACCGGCAACCAGTCTAACATCTCTGGTTGTCGTCAGATACATGTGCAGTTGGAGGTTGTGAACGTAAAAACGGGTTGAAAGCGCGTCTGCGCTCTTTGAGCGGTACTCAGCCATGCACCCAAGTTCTGGGCGCCTTCAAATTGCTGGGCGTTGGAGTACCAGCCCGGCTGAAGGCGAGGCGAGAAGCGGTATCAGCCTGATCGGATGCCATCTTCGAACATCTTTCACTCCTCCAAATAGACCTACACATGGNTAGGTTAGAATTTAATACGAAAATGCAATTTTAACATTGCTTTTAACTTCCAAAAAGAAACGTCAAATCGCAACTTTAAAGTGATTTTTCGGTAAGTACTACACTTTTCCGCACTTTTTTTTTATCATTAACACATCTTTTGAGTCATTTCCTACCGATTAAAAAAAAATTCATCGATTTTTAAGAGGGACAGCTAATCTTAATATATGCCAAATTTTTTTTTTATATTAAATTTATATTTGATGAATTCAATCTTGGTTTACTTATGATTTATAAAATAAAGATAATTCACTATATAAATAAAGTTTACAATTTTTGTAATCGTGTTTATTGTAATTAAATATATTTGTTGTAAAAAAATTCTATTTTATCGACATTGCGTATTCGGTTGCATAATCAATTCTTTATTTAAACTTAATATGCTGATTTATTATAACAAGATTTTTCAACAAACATTTCGCCCTTATTCAATCCGAAATAAACTTTATCACCCCTTTGAAAAGCCCAGGCCATTTGAGGAGTTGTGTAATGAATAGCGGCATCACCCCATTTTGAAAGTACAATTCCACCTCCGTTTGAAGAAAATTTTGCGTTAAGATAGAGGAGGTTTTCTTTTAAAGCATCTTTTGGATTTAATCCGTACATCATGCTTTTGTACACTTTAAAAGCTAAAAGAAATTTCATTAAATGTTGACTATTTCCGGCAACGGCCACAGCGCCGATATTATTATCGGCGTAAATTCCGCATCCAACTCGCGCGGCTTCCGTTAAAGACCCAGCTGGTTTTTTGGGTTGACCAGCGTTTCCGGTGGCGGCAGCTAAATGTCCATCGTGGTCAATTGCGATAACACCAGCGTTACCAACGTCACAATTATCGTAAGGGTTTTGAAATAAATCCCTTGCTAAATCGGTGATTAACAAGTCGTTATTTAGGAATCGAGTTTTCGCGTATTTCGCGAAATACTTGATTCCTTCGTCACTGATAAGGACGTGAGGTGTGAAATCCATAACTCCTCGTGCCAAACTGGTTGGATGTAAAATATTTTTTGCGCAACCAACCGCACCGACCCTTAACCCTCTCCCATCCATTATACTCGCATCCATTTCAATTTCATTTTCATCGTTAATCATCGATCCAACACCGATATTAAATTCAGGACATTCTTCCATGTAATTCATAGCCTCCTCAATACCACCAATTACACTTCCGCTTCGTGTCATTGCTTTATAACCGACCATTGCAGCTCGTTTAACTTCTTCCATTTTATTAGGAGCTAATCTGCTTAAATTATTACCAACACCTCCATGAACTATTAAGGTTGGTATAATATGCTTTTTTTTTAATTCGAATTTAATTTCATATTTTTGGTGTGATGTGTGACTTTTTAAAATAGCATTAATAAGTTTCATTATACACGAGAATTTTATTATTTAATTATTTTTTTTTTAAGTTTAAAATTTAATTTGAAATTGACGTTTTCTAAATGACATCTGTTAAAAGTCAAAATCAGCGGTACTTAAAAATCTCGCAAAATATACATATACAGGTGCCCGAAAATTGCGTTCATATATTTAAAGGTGTGATTCTACATAAAAAATCATGAAGAAAAGTTCATATAAAAGTGTGTTCTAAAATGCTTCCTAAGGGAGGTAGAGCGCTTTGAAGAAGACGTTCAATATGTGATTATTTCTCATTATTTCAAAAACTGCTAGGGTTAGAAACACGAAATTTTGCATATCTAGCTATTTTTACGAGGCGAATACGATAATCGAATAAAAAATTAGAAGGAATGTGCAGTTGCAGAAATAAGGGATAGGGGGCGCAATTTATTTCCCATATTTTTTTCTGCTTTGATCTTTTCACTATTTTAACCTCAAAATTAGAATCTACGGAAAAAAATACATAAAAAATGTTCTGAAGTTAATGATGCCATCTCGGGTAAATCCAGCTTCATCGGTAAACAACACTTTTTCCGGAAAATTTCTGTCATGGCGCCATTGTTCCATAATCCAACGACTGAACTGTAGTCTTGGGATGCTATCGGTGAGTTTTAAGGCCTGCACCTTTTGGTAATGATATGAATGCAGTAGCTGATCTTTAAATACCTCCCAAACGGTAGTTTTCGGCACATTTTCTTGTACCGATAATCTCCTAGTGCTTACCGTAGGATTGATAGCTACTGCATCGAGCACCCTTTCTTCCACTTCTACAGTCCTCGTAGTGCAAGATCTTCCACAGTCGTAACGATTTTCCTTAAAGCGCCCAGTTTAACACAATCTTTCATGAATAGAATCGTTCACAGGGAAGTTGTAGGTTTGGAGATCGTTCTGCGTACAATCTTCGTGCTTCTCTGGCATTTCCATCAGCTCTACCGTACGTAAAGTGAATGTTTGCCATCTCTTCGTTTGAGTGTTGAACCATTTTGATTTAATTAAACGTAAATTATGTATAGTGGTTGTTGCACTAAAATAATTTTTTATCGACCGCTTGACAGCAAAGATCAACAAATGAAAGGAGCCTACTAAGATTTTTAGTGATAGTTTAATACACATGTTTGTGTGCAGTATTTTACTTAGTATTATTTATTTTAAAAACGAGTGGTCGTAGACCATTTTATAAGCAGAACATTTTTTATGTATTTTTTTCCGTAGATTCTAATTTTGAGGTTAAAATAGTGAAAAGATCAAAGCAAAAAAGAAATATGGGAAATAAATTGCGCCCCCTACCCCTTATTTCCGCAACTGCACATTCCTTCTAATTTTTTATTCGATTATCGTATTCGCCCCGTAAAAATAGCTAGATATGCAAAATTTCGTGTTTCTAACCCTAGTAGTTTTTGAAATAATGAGAAATAACCACATATTGAACGTCTTCTTCAAACCGCTCTACCTCCCTTAGGAAGCATTTTAGGACACACCTTTATATGAACTTTTCTTCATGATTTTTTATGTAGAATCACACCTTTAAATATATGAACGCAACTTCCGGGCACCCTGTATATAGTTCATTTTTTTTCTATAATACCTGTGAAATTGTTGTAAAGTTGGCAAAATTAACAGGGAATTTAAAAAGGTGCCTAAAAAGTGTTGTGGGGTGTTTATTTGCCATTTACTTACCTAGAAAAGGTATTTTATTCTATTTAATTACTTTGTAGCACGTTTTTATAACAAATATGTACTTCGTCAAAATCGTATTTATCCTAAAATTTATTAGTATTTTAACCTCAACTAATTAGTTACTGACAATGTTACTAAAAATCATGAAAACAACATAAATTTTATAAGGGTCCTAGATAATACCAACAGAAACCCTAAATAATTTACATTGACAAGTATTATACAGGGTGTATCTGAATGACTGCAACAAACTTCAAGGGGTGATTCTTTAGTGAATTTTAAAGGTACTTTGATATATGAACCATGGGCGATTTCGGCTCCCCTAAGGTACAAATAGGGTCAAAACGTGCCCTATTATGAGTTAAACATATTCCCCAAATTTCATTTTCCTAGCGTTTATGGTTTTTGAGAAAAAAAAATAAACCAACATTTTCAGCCATTTTTGGAGGGGTGTAGCTCCTGAAGGGAGCCGAAGTCGCCCATAGTTCATATATCAAAGTACCCTTAAAATTCACTAAAGAATCACCCCTTGAAGTTTGTTGCAGTCATTCAGATACACCTGTAGAAAAAAACGAACTATAGGTACGTTCAGCTAATCAAAGCTAACGTGATTATTATTAGAATAGAGAGACTTAAAAGTACCGCTGGGTGATAAATGACGTTTTATAAATTAAATTCTGGTAAGTAAGGGGTTAATCCAAGTTTAGACCTAACCGAGACGTGCGGCTAAACCCAAATTGTTCTAGTTCTAGGTAGGTATACTGTTAGTTCGACATAGTAACAGTATACCGTGCTGGTGTAAAACTAGAACTAACACTAGACCTAGAACTAGAAACATTCGGGTTTAGCCGTGCGTCTGAGGACGCACGGCTAAATCCGAAACTTTCTAGTTCTAGGTCTAGTGTTAGTTCTAGTTTTAATTGTTCTGCAGCGCTAAACCAAGAATTAGAATCATTCGGGTTTAGCCGTCTTAAGAGACGTCCAGCTAAACACAAATGTTTCTAGTTCTAATGTTAGTTCTAGTGACAGTGCAAGTGTAAAACTAGAACTAACACTCGACTTTTTAGAATAGTATTAATAAGTTTGAGACATAATATACGTTAAAAGTCAAAATCGCTATTTTAAAATAATCCGCGATTTAATCTTAAAATGAAGCGATTTTTATCCATAAATATTTTTATATCATGTATTTTTCAATTTTACGACAGGTGTAAATTGGAAACAAATCGTAGGCAATTTTACGTTGTCGCCTTTCGTCGTTGAAAAATACGTATGCATACATATGTATAGATGGGAGTAACGCATTTTGCGCTAGAACTGGGTACTCTCGCTAGATGCTGTCAAAAGCGTAATGGTTCTACTAAAAAGAAACGTCGCAACTCCTCGTTGGAATCCCCCTTTATCCCGGGAATCAATACTGGGAATAAATTATTCAGCGTGCACATTTTTACAAGGCGCTAGAGGGCGTGTCTATCGGAAAACTTTATTCGAAGGAGACCCTTTAGAAGACGAACCACCATTGACTGTCTGTCAAATAAACTCGTAACTAAACGCGTGATGAATGTGAATGGGGTAAGTTTTCTTTGTATGCGTCTAATTTTATTTATTCTTTCTTTTTTTAAGTTGTATTTTAGGAATTAGATTCACGTAAACCGACAAATCCCACTTAAAAGTACAATCGGAACGAGCAGCCATGAATAAAACACGATGGAAGCGCGAGATAAACAGTTCAATTCGAAAGAATTAAACGTTGCGCCCCGGGTTGACCCAGCGTACCCACCCACTTCGTACCAGAGGGGCTAAAAACTTTCGGAACCCGTAGAATTTAAATAAGGAAACAATCTAGATAAAAGGCAAAATCGGGTGTCTCACTCTTTCTTTCTCGTACTCTTTCGCTATTTAGCTTCTTCTCCCGAATAACCACCCATATTTTACAACCCAATCCGAAATCTTTTTCCTCCCAACCCCTCTATTTATGCGACAACTTTAAATTGGGAATAGCCCGAAGACCTCGTAATATAAAATCTCTTCGACAGTTTCAACTTGTTATTAATGTTTACAAAACTATTTTTTTTAAAATATAATGGTAGTTATTTTTTGGTATATACTACCCCGGTGTTGTACTACTCCTTTTTTCAACCTTAACTCAATCAAACTAATTTTTTTTTTGCAAAAGTAACGACTTTTGTTGTTTGATTTGTGACTTCTACATATCAAATCATTATTAAATTGCGAACATTTCTGACCGTACTACCTAGTGATATGATGTACGGGAACGATTTTTAACATTTTCAAAAATATGTCTATTACCACTTAACTAAGATACATGGAATTTTTTTCTAATTTTTACCAAGGACAGTAGAATCTAACAGGACTGCTACATCCATTGTTGTGACAACCTGCCCGCAAACTACGTCACACCATTTTCCACGCCCAGCTGTTGTTATTTTTCATATTATTTTTAAAGTTTTATGTTTTTAGACGTATTAATGTCTATCATATAACCTCTAAAAACACAGACAGTTACCAGGCGTGGCAAATAGTGTGACGTAGAGTGCAGGCAACCAACCCGTAGTGGACTACAAAAATACAATGGATGTAGCAGTCCTGTTAGATTCTACTGTCCTTGAATTTTTACCAGAACAGTTATGCGTTTGCATCTCACCCGGTGTCCGCTTGACGTTGAGTTTTGGTACAGTGTGTTGCGCACAATCACAACTAAATAAGAAAATAAAAAGAATTTGGCCACCACACAAAATTTCAATTTTCAGCTTGGCAATGAATATACAGGTGTTCATTTCAAAACTTTCCACCTCAATTTCTGTAAATCCGGAAGTTTAAAAAGAAAATCGCTGAAATAGGTAAAGAATAAAACCAAGGGGGACAACTTTTTATGCAAAAATTGACTCACTCACTTCAACCCCCCGCCGCCAGAAACCAACCCCTTAAAAATCTTAAATGGAAAGGGGTGTCAAGTGATACCTCATTTTAAAGGTCTTTTAAGGTACTACATGTTAGTATTTATTTTTTTTAAATTGATCGATTCGTTTTCGAAATTTTTGCGAAAATCTTTGTTTTGTATTTCCCGCTTTAATTAATATTAAAAACTTTAATCACCTTCTTAAAAGCAAGAATAAGTAATCTTTTATTATTAATTTATAAAATTAAATTACCATGTTCGTTTTTACAACGACCATTAAACCTTTATTATTTCGGAGCAATCNTTTCGAAAACGAATCGATCAATTAAAAAAAAATAAATACTAACATGTAGTACCTTAAAAGACCTTTAAAATGAGGTATCACTTGACACCCCTTTCCATTTAAGATTTTTAAGGGGTTGGTTTCTGGCGGCGGAGGGTTGAAGTGAGTGAGTCAATTTTTGCATAAAAAGTTGTCCCCCTTAGTTTTATTCTTTACCTATTTCAACGATTTTCTTTTTAAACTTCCGGATTTACAGAAATTGAGGTGGAAAGTTTTGAAATGAACACCCTGTATTAAGAGACGTACGGTTAAACCCGAATGTTTCTAGTAATTAACATA